ATATACTGTTTTGCCTTGTATTAAGAGAGGATTATTACGTATTGAATGAATAAATGAAACAGTGCATTAACTCATAGTTAGATCTTTTAGTTACAAATACGTAAAATACAACATATTACAATTTTTAGCTCAAGTATTATTTCTCTTTTGACACCACATAAACCTGCGAATGACATAACAGACAAAAACATAAAACGCGATTTAAATCTTTGTTTCAATCCAACATATTATTTCCTTATAATTTGGCCTCTTGATAATAAAACTTGTCCTTCTTTCCAAACAAAACACATTCCAAAATATATTCTTTTTCCTGAATCATCAATTGAAGCAAGGAGTAATACTGTAATACAGATAATTTCCCTTCACTATTGTCAATTTATGGAAATCCATACCTCAACTTAATTGGCTTCATGCACTCAACCTACTATAAAATATTACCCTTACTTATTATGTTATTTCGCATCATGAAACATTGTATCTTTTTGAGCCGCACCACCACCACCACCACCTCCACCCCCGCCACGACCACCACCATCCTTCTCATCAGAATACCTGACAACCACCACAGGGCAAACACAATGGCGTACACAGTAATCACTAACACTTCCAAGCCCTCCATTTTCGGTCTGTTTTACAGCACCAAAACCTCTACTCCCCATGATCATGGCGCACAACCCCAACCTCTCTACCTCCAAACAAAGCCTCTCTTTTAAATCATGGTCCTTCACAATATGAATCTTGAAGGGAACATTAGCGTCCACCAATGGCTGAGACAGGTTGGTAGTTTTTGTGTTGGTGAATTTATCAAAATCTTCTTCAAGCTTCTTCTGTGATTCTTCCGAGTGAGATTCAGCGTCGGTTGCTTGGCCCCAGTCAGCCCCGTACAGGACGGAGGTGGGTCGTACATGGAGGAGGATGACAGCATCCCCTCGCCGGAGATAGTTCTGGACAGCCCATTGAACGGCGAAGGCACTTTCATTGCTTAAATCAACTGCAATTCCAATGCGGCGATGGGCACCAGAGGTGGGGGTTCCTACTGGTGGTGGGTAGCGTGGAGAAGATGGTGGATCTGCATGAATGGTGGAGACTGTAGGGATCGGACCTTTCATTGTTTTTTAATCGGAATGTATGGGTGATTTTGTTTTGTTTTTTTCTAAGTTGTTTTGGGTGATTTACAGATAAGAGAAAAAAGCAAAATTTTGAGGAGAGAGTGAAGCGATTTTTGTGTTGAAGGTGTCAATAACACCGAGGATGAAGGGCAAGCAAGATTAAATGAACCCATGCATGAGGGTCCTTGAGCT